TTTTTATAGTTCTCTGTTCCTTTCTTCTTCTCTTGCTCTCTTCCCTTGTGATATGATGGCTTTTTTTAGGTTATATTTCGTTTCTTTTCTCTTTATTTTCTGCACATTTATAATAGGTTTTTGGTTTGGGATTACCATGAGGTTCATATATAATAACCTACGAAAACAGTAATCTACATTAAGTTGATGGTCTTTTAAGTTTGACCTCTAACTAAAAGCCCTACACTTTTACTCCCCCTGCCATATTTTATGCTTTTGATGTCTTATTTTACCTCTTTTGCTTTTGCATATCCCTTAACCACTTATCATAGATATGGATGATTTTACTACTTTTGTCTTTTGACCTTCATACAAGTTTTACTGTATATTTATGTTTGCCAGTGATATTTTTTCTTGATAACTTTCTTATTCCTATTTGTGGGCTTTTCTTTTCCATGTAAGTAAGTCCCTTCAACATTTCTTATAAGGGCAGTATAGTGGTGGTGAACTCCTTTAGTTTTTGCTTGTTTGGAAAACTCTTTATCTTTCCTTCTGTTTTGAATGATAACCTTGCCAGGTAAAGTATTCTTGACTGTAGGTTTTTCCTTTTGGCACTTTGAGTATATTGTGCCACTCCCTTCTAGCCTCTAAGATTTCTGCTGAGAAGTCAGCTGATGGCCATATGAGGTTTCCTTTGTATGTAACTCGTTGCCTTTCTCTTCCAGCTTTTAGGGTTCTCTCTTTATCTTTAATTCTTGACATTTTAATTGTAATGTGTCTTAGTGTGGGCCTTTTTGGATTCATCTCATTTGGTGCTCTCTGTGCTTCTTGTACCTGGATATCTGTTTCCTTCTCAGGTTAGGGAAGTTTTCAGCTATTATTTCTTCAAATAAGTTCTCTGCCCCTTTGTCTCTCTTTTTTCCTTCTGGGACGCCTATAATGCAGATATTAGTATGCTCGATGTTGTCCCAGAGGTCCCTCAGACTGTCCTCATTCTTTTTAATTTTTTCTTTTTTCTGTTCAGCTTGAGTGATTTCTTCTCCTCTGTCATTCAGATCACTGATTCTTTCTTCTGTGTCATCTACTCTGCTGTTGATGCCCTCTAGTGAATTTTTTATTTCCATTATTGTATTCTTCAGCTCCGATTGGCTCTTTTTTATATTTTCCAAATCTTCGTTGATGTTCTGTGTGGAGCAAATCTTCTCCCCAGATCAGTAAGCATCCTTATGACTATTAGTTTGTACTCTTTATCAAGTACATTATTTATATCTGTTTCATTTAGTTCTTTTTCTGAGGAATTGTCCTGTTCCCTTATTTGGAACATATTCCTTTGTCTCCTCATTTTGCCTACTTCTCTGCGCTTATTTATATATGTTAGATAGATCAGCTATGTCTCCTGATCTTGGAAATGTGGCCTTATGTAAGAGATGCCTTATGGAGCCCAGGAGCATGCTCCCCTCTCATCACTCATGCCAAATGCTCTAAGTGTGTCCCCTGTGTGGGCTGTGTGTGCCCTTCTGTTGTTGCAGGGTTGCTATTGCTACAGGTGCACAGGTAGGCTAGGCTGACTCCCTGGCCAGCTGGTGGTAAGGCTCTGTCGAATGTGGCTGCTACAGTCACTTTATTGGGCAGGGCAAGCCCCTGTCACAGTTGGCTGCGAGGTCTAGTAGCATACCACTACTGCAGTTTTGCTAGTGGGTCAGGCCCCCAATGTGGCTGGTTGCTAGGCTCAGGGGCACACAGTAGCATAGGTTGTTGTAGATCTGTTGTTTCCATGGGAGGAGATGAATTCAGGATCCTTCTATACCGCCATCTTCCAAACTCTCACCAGAAATTTTCAAGTCCCATAATACCAAGTTGTCAGGATATAATCACTGGTGAAGAATGTATAAATTGGTATAACCACTTCTCTAGTAAAATTGAAAATGTACATATCCTGCAAACCAGCAGTTTCATTCTTAAATATCTTCCCTGAAAAAACTCTTGGACATGTGCATAAGAAGATATGCAGAAGAAGGTTTATGACAGCTTTCCTTGAACAGAGAGGCATCTGAAACAAACTTGAGTCAGAAAAGAATCCATTAGTCCATAGCAACACTCAAAATATGGTGGAGATGAGCTTTCTTCTTTCAAAGGGTGCCAGCTTGATTGACCTTTAAGAACCTTTAGTAGCCCAGAAATGGGAGCAGCTCTTTTATCCAAGGTAACCTTTCCTTGATAACTTAATTTCACCATTCTAATAATCAGTTTTATACTGAGCTTTAAGTGATACTCACAGGAGCTACTGAAGGAAGTCAGTTTGCCCCCATATTAAAGAGCTTCAGATTATAGTGATAACACTAGTTCTTTTATTACTTTGTTATCAATATATTTTTAGAGTTTCTCTCTTCTCCCTAGAGAGGTTGTCAGCAGTCACTGTTCTCTGCCTTGCTATCTATATTTCTGCCTTTGGTACCCTCTATATCCCCTTCTAATTTGATTCTCCTGAAACAAGTAATCAACTTTTATTGTTTTTAGTTGAGGTATAATTTACATATAACGTTATATTAGTTTCAGGTGTAGTACCTAACTTCTACAGTACTTTATAGTTGGCATAGCATCTTAACACACATTACTTCATTTAATTCTCACAATAACCTTATAATACAAGTCCTATCACTATTCCTATTTTATATATGAGAAAACTGAGGCTCTAAAAGATTGAGTGATTTATCTGAGGACATAAAGCAGGTAAATAGCAAAAGTGATCTCAACTGTCAATCTTTTCTTCTTTCATCACCAAACAGCTTGTTAAAAACAAATAAGAGTCGAAAGTAGAGCCTATAAGAAAAAAAACCATGAGACTTATGTATAAGCTTTGAATTTTTTTGGACATTCATAACATATATTATTAATTAATTAAAACACTTAGCTTACTTCTCTACTTTCTTGGCAGTCGAAGCTACCAGGAAAAAAATCACGTCCAGATAAAGAAAATACTAATGTATATCTATTGCCAATTTCAAAAACCTATGCACCAGTAATGAACAATTCAAAACATAACAGTAGTTCAAATGTGCTGTAAAATAAGGCTACCATTTTCAGAAAAAAAATTTTTTCTTCAGATTTGAAGACAACGAAACAGACTAAAGAATATCTGCATTACGTAATAAATAGATTTCCTTTTACTTTTCCCTCTTTGCCTCCCTCTGCAAAGAGAGTTGCTAGAGGACCTAAAGGGTTAATCTAATCCATCAAACAGTGCCCACTGAGAGCATTTTCCCATCTGGTGGGAGTCAAGAACACTAGCTCAGGTCCTTACCAGAATCATGCAAACCATAGGTTTAGAACAATACTACTGACATTTTGGATCAGACAATTCTTTGTTGTATGTTTGGGGTAGGGTGGGGTGCGATATATTCTGTGCATTGTAGGATGTTTAGCAACATCCCTGGCTGGATGCCAGTAGCACCCCACCTTCAGTAACGACAAAGAAAAATGTTTCCTGATACTACCAAATGTCCCTTGGAGGGCAAAATCACCCATCTGACTATTGATTTAGATGTTAGGGTCCAGGTCTTTGAAAAAGAAGGCCTCCAACCAGCCCTAATTATAATTTTTAAAAACTAATTTTGATGTTAAATCTGGGATTTTAAAAAATAAGATGGTAATAGTACAAGAAGATACCTAAATAATGAATATGAATCCACCTTTAAGTTCAAGCATTTTTACAGGATTTTGTAACATGGATGTCATCTATGTGTATACATTGGTCCCCTCCTCCTCGCCCCATCCCAAAGTGGGGAAATGTCCAGTTCTCTCCCCACTTTGCTAGTAAAATGTCAAATACATACATAAGAAGACCTAAACAACTCCAACTTGCAAATCCCCAATTCTTGCCTTACAGGCCACATTGTGGTTCTTCAGCCACGCATCCTAGAGATTCAAGCTTCTACTCTTCAGATTTCCTCATCTGGTTCCTGCCATCTATTTGTGAAGCGAGGAGGAAGTGAACTGATAACCTTTAACCCTGATATCCTAATATTCGATGACAAAAATAATCCTTCAACTTTTACTTACTGACTCCCAGCTGACCAGACCACCTCTTGAGATCACTGAAGCCATTCATGCTAACTTTTTTCTTTCTCCATTCTTTATTATTAATCTATGCTGAAAACAGTATGTCAGTTGTTTAAAACATCACTTATTAATACCAGCGATCAGTTGTTTATTCTCTGACTCAAAATATTTTAAACATGTAAATTGATTTTAAAAGAAAAATTTTTCAAGAAGCTGTGAGCTGATCCATTTATATGAATGAACCACAATAGGCAAATATTGAGATAGAAAGTAGATTAGTGGTTGCCTAGGCCTGAGGGTGGGGTGGGGAGAATGGGGAGTAACTGCTAATAGGCAGGTTTCTTTTGGGGGTGATGAAAATATTCTAAAAAATTAGATTATGATGATGGTTCCATGCTGTGTAAATATACTTAAAGAATCATTGAATTTTACATTTTAAATAAGTGTACTTTACTCAATAAAGTTGTTTGTAAAAAGCTAAAAGCAGGAAAAAGGAATTTTAATCAACTTTTATTGACAGGAAAAGAAATGTGACTAAGAACAAATTCTGCAGTTTGTCATTTCATGAATTATATAACATTTGGTTTTAATTCTGACATACAACTTAATACCTATTCAGTAATAAATTTTTACTTTTCCAGAAAACACACATATGCAAGTTCAATCATCTTTTCCTAGTAAACTTTGGATAATTTGAAAGCAATGAAAAACATTTCAGAAAGCCAAATGCTAGAGTAACAATACTTCCACAAGAACAAAATATATCAATATCATTAACAACAACAAAACATGGACAGTCTTTTTAGTTTTCTTGTGATGCATTCTTTACAAAGAAAACCATTAAGACATTTTTCATTTCTCTTAAAAGTGATCCTCAAACTGTACTGTCTGTCCCGGTAGTGTGATAATTCTGAAGTTACCAGAGCATAATTTAAAAAGAGCCAAATCACAATAAAACTGCAAACATCTAATCCCCTAATCACAACTATCAATCACCCAAAATTTGCACACATTGATCATTTTTACCAAAACCTATCACAAGCTATGATGATTACAATGAACTATCAATACCTATTTCTAGGAAATCAGACTATCACTGCAATACAAATCGAGTCAAACAAACAAATCCCATCATTCCATCTTTCTATCATAACTGCTTAGAAATCATTAAAGCTCTCAAGGTACTTTTCCAATGAGAACTCTCCATCAGATTTATAAAAGTCAACCTGAACGTCCATCAAAATCTGCAGTTTAAGTTACCACAATAAGACAATTCTCAGTGTACTATCACGCTATCACTTGCCTTGTAAGCATTTACGATTAAGATTGCCCTGGGGTTTGAGAAATCAAAAAGAGTCAATTAAAAACCAAAAACACTACCAACAATTTAATTCTTCGAAAGAACTTCAATAAAGACCAGAAGATAAACCTGGTTAAAGGCGAATTAAAAAAAAAAATTTGCAACCCGAGTCAGCGAAAATTCTAAAAATATCATCCTGAACTCAGCACGTGGACAGACCAAGTGGTAAACTGTAATGGGCAGTCAAAAGTTCCCTTGTTAACGATGGGCGGGCAGGGGAGGCCTGCCTTTTTATCAATGCAGAGATGGAAAGCAGCAGAAGTGAAGAAAATTCTTTAACAAATCATTGCGAGCTAAATTGCCAAACTGCAAAACACCGCGTTACTCTTTAGGTTAGCCTTCCCCAAGAAGAAAAATGATTTTTTAAATTTAAATTATTCCAGTAGGATCCAAAGAAGGCTAAGGGCCCGGCTGGAAACAGAAAGGGAAAGTTTGGGGGCAGCACGTAAGAAGGCGGTGGAAGTTCCAGAGCCCGGATCCCGGAGGGGGCGAGAGGGGCGAGAGCAGCGGCTGAGGCCGCCGGCTGGAGGAGGGGAGCACAGCTGCCGCTGCCGCTGCCGGTCCCGGTCCCGGTCCCGGTCCCGGAGCGAGCGTGAAAAGGAAGAGGAGGTGGCCGAGAGGAGAATGGAAGACGCTTCAGCGCCGGTCAGTTGTGACCAAAACTCTGTGCGCTCCGGGCCGGGGAGGAGACAGAGGGGGTGGGGTCTCAGACCCTCTCTCCACTGAGGGTGAGGGTGAGGGTGGGCCGCGAAGCGCCGGGGGCCGCGGGGGGCCGGCCGGACACCTACCTGCGGGTCCCGGGCAGCCGCCCCAGAGCGAGGCCTAGTGCATCGCCGCCGCCTCCAGCCCTCCACGTCTCGCTGAGGCTGCTCCTCCGCGGCCGCCGCCGCCCGCAGCCCCGTCAGGCCCGAGCCCGGCTTTCCGCCCCCGCCCCGCGCCGGCTGGCCTGTCGGCCGGGGGAGCCCAGGGCCGCCCTCTCGAGCCCAGCTCCGCTCAGGGGTGAGAGGCGGCAGCGGCGGCTCCCTCACGTCTCTCCCGGGTGTCCTGTCAGCCAGCAGTTTCCCCCGGGTCCGCAGCGCCGCCTCCGCCGCTGCTGCCACCGCCTCTCCCACATCCCCGGCCTCCAGAGGAGCCGCCGCCGCGCCGCGACCACTACCCCTAGCGCTTCTGCTCCTTGCTCCACTGCTCCCCTCACCCCGCCGGCCCGGCTTGGCCCGGCTAGGTCCGGGGAGACCGCGCCGGAGGCCGCCGCGAGGCCGCCGCAGCCCCCAGCCCACAATCCACCGCGCGGCTCCGCCGGGGCGGGAGGGCCGCGGCCCGGGCCGCGGGGAGTGCTCGCCGCCTCGGGAGGAGGGCCACGGCGCGGGCGCCCCCGGCGTTCCCCCGGAGCGGGGAATACCCCGCGCGATGCTCTGCGTCTCCCCCAATAATCCTGCCCGCCAAGACACAAACCCACGCTGAACTCAGCTTTTCCCCATGACCCCTCCCCCACCCGAGTGGTTCTCAGGGGCAGCCAGGGGCCGCCTTCCGCCTGCCCTGGGACTGACCCGCGCTCCCTCAGCCCGGCCCTGGCCCCCCCGCCCCAGACCAGCCGACTCCAAACGCACCCATATCACCCAGGACCTATTAAAGTAGATACTCCCACTACACTCCACCTCTCCTTTCATCCCCTAAAAGCGAACCCTGTCCAGAGTTTCCTAAATAAATGTTCTTTGAAAGGTTAAAGGTCACCCCCTCCCCAACAACCCACAGGACTCTGAAAACTACATTGTCTATTGAGGCCTTCCCCCACCAACTCTAAGTTTTCCCCTGGTTCAGGCCTTCCTCCAAGGCACTTATCACACTTCTCTGGCACTGAAATCGGTTATTCCTGCTATTTGACTGAGATACTTTGAGTGTGTGTGTATTATTAATACATCCTCATTGTGATTAAGAGTAATCCAACTCAACTTGGTTTGAGAGGGCTTGCAATCTTAATCCGATAAAATACAATCTGCAAGAAAGGGAACGTCTTGGAATATTTTTAAAAAGAAAAAAAAGGGCCCTCAATCATTCGAGTGCTTATGTCTTAATTTTAGAAAGATTTCTTTCAATTTTGAAACTATTTCTTTGCCTAAAAATATCTGTCAAAGTCGCAGGCATTTATAAAATACTAGTATGTTTTAACAAATCAAAAGTGAAAATGTAATTCTTACAGTTGGGGATTGAAAAAAAAGTTGATACAAGTTTCACTTCCAAGAAGTCACTGAAAGCTGCAAATATAACTGTGAAATAATATTTTACCCACTAAAGAGCTAAGTTGGGGGAATGGAAGGACAAAAGAGAAGAAGCAACAAAAATAGTTGAGAGAAAATTCTTATATTATGTTTTTCTAAATTCTCTACAATTTTGGGATAAAAGGAGTGAGAATATCAATCCCCAATATGAAATAAATGTAGCTATAAAAAATAAAGACATCCTCTTAAATCCCCCGTCTCATATAAAACCAGTTGAGTTTATCTTGTGAAAACCTTAAGGAAAGGTTCAGCAAATTTCATCCAAGGCCGGAAAGGAAAATAATTTCGTTTTAAGTCTACAATCAGTTGATGGATTATACTAAGAAATGGATTTAGCAAGTTCCTATATTTTGAACCTGCATAAGGAAGTCAAGAACAGTTGGAAAGCTACCTTTAACTTGGCAGTTTGACCTTTTAAAAAATATTTGCATTTATGCCCCTCCTTGTTCCAAAAAAGATTCCAAGTTGCTCCAGTTGGCACTTGGATTAAATAATAGCCATGAGGTATCTCCCAGACACTAGAACAAGACAGACTGGTTTGCTCTCCTCATTATCCATCTGTAGATAACACACCATAGGAAGAAAATACACATTGAGTATTATGCTTTGCTCTTTCAGGGATCCAGCATGATTTTTGCTTTTACTTTTCCACAGAACAATTCATAATCATGAATCTAAACAGAAAAGTAAATGCTGATGGCCAGGTTTGCCAACGACAAAAGAAAACAAAATGAAAAACTGTTAACTGGATAAATAATTTAATTTAAAGGTAGATAAATTTCAAATTAATTAATATATTCACTTATCCCTTAAATCATTTCAGTATTAGAAAAGGCAAATTACAGAGAAATATGTATACATATATTATTAGTGTTCATTTCCAGAGACCACAGATGACAGAAAATTAAAAATTGACAGAGATCACCACTGCCCTCTTGCAAATAGGAAGAAAATATTTAGCTACCATATTACTAAAACTGTATTTGGCATAGTATTTATTAAACCTATTAAGAATTATGAATGGTGATATTCATCAGGGTCATATATTCTCATTAGAGGGAGAATGGGCAAATTTTCTAATGCTGTAATACCTATAAAGGAACTACGTTTATGTTAGTGTATGTTCAGTGGGTATTTGTGTGTGTGACAGTAGTGAGACTAACATGTCTACTCAACCAATGAACACCATTTTTAATGACTTATTTTACAGAAACTATACATTCACATGCCAATATAAATACAGAAGGGAAGGGAACACTAGTAGAAGGAACAACTCAGAAAAATTACTTTGCAATTTAGTTAGATTTGAGAACTAGCCCTTCTTTTTTCCACAATAACAAACCTTAAATCTATCAAATGGAAATCATTCAAGTTCTCTAACCTAATCTATAGCTAAATATGTGTAATTACATTGTGTGTTTACTATAAATTATCTTTGGTAAGCAAAATCCACATGCACTCATGAACTTAAAGTATTCTGCAGATAGTAGTTTGTGTTTTTTTTTTTTTGAGGAAGATTAGCTCTGAGCTAACTACTGCCAATCCTCCTCTTTTTGCTGAGGAAGACTGGTCCTGAGCTAACATCCATGCCCATCTTCCTCTACATTATACGTGGGTTGCCTTCCATAACATGGCTTTTGCCAAATGGTGCCATGTGCGCACCTGGGATCCGAACCAGCGAACCCCAGGCCACAGAGAAGCAGAACATTTGAACTTAACCGCTGCGCCACCAGGCCAGCCCCCCAGATAGTAGTTTTTTGATGTAATACCCTAAATTATTTTATCCATTATATTTAAGCTATTTTAAAATGTTATAATGCTTAAAAATCACAATGTATAACAAAGCAATTGGAACTGGAAACTATGTTTTAATGTTTATTCATATCTAATGTAGGAAAACTTTCCGATTTACTTTGAGAATGATGTAAGACATTAAACCTAAATGCAAGTATAAGCACCACTATAAATTTTATAACATTTCGTGTGATAATAACATACTCAATAACTGTTGGGAGTAAAATACAAGTTTTCAGCATACCATCATCTGTTTGTGTCTTCTAAATCAGCTGCTTGATTACTTTGGAAACAAGTACTTAACTCTATTAAATTTCTCTGGTACATTTCTCTTTGACTCTGATATTCCAAATTTCCATTTTTATTATCATAATAATAGCAACTACCATTTACTAAGAATTTACTGTGCTCCAAGCATGGGGAAAACCAAGGTAGTGTGGTATATTAGTTTTCTATTGTGTGTACAAATTACCACAAACTTAGCAGTTTAAAATAACACGTATTTATTATGTTACAGTTTCTGTGAGTCAGGAGTCCAGGCACAGCTTAGCTTGGTCTTCTGCTCAAGGCCTCATAAGGCTGCAATCAAAGCATCAGTCAGGCTGTGTTCTTATCTTATCTGTTTTCAGTGTCATTCAGATTGTTGACAGAATTTATTTTCTTGTGGTTGTAGGACTGAGAGCCCTAGCTTCTTGCTGGATGGAAACTGCCCTCAGCTCGTAGAGGCCACCTGCAGTTCCTTGCCATGTAGGTTTTCCCAACGTGGTTGCTTTGGTTGCTTGCTTTATCAAACCAGCAAGGAATGTCTCTAAGCTCTCTAAAGTGAGTCAGCCCACAAGACAAAGTGCTATTCTATCATCTTTGCCATGTTTTATGGTTTAGAAGCAAGTCACAAGGTTGGTTCACACTCAAGGAGAGGGGATTTTACACAAAGCTGTGAATGCCAGGAGGTAGGAATCATGGAGGCCACCCTAGTCTGTCTACCACCTGCGGTGATTTATTGCATAGGCTTCGGAACTTAGCTAACCCTGGGTTTTCACCTCGGCTTTGACACTTTTGCTATGTACTTTTGATCTCAATTTCTAATCCTTTGTTTCTTCATCTGCCAAATAGGAGTAATAACCTCTTCACACTTTTTTTTTCTCCCATGTAAAATGAGGATAATAGTAGAATTGTTGTAAGGATTAAATGAGCGTTTAACACAGTAACTGATAACATGAAAAGCTCAATAAACGCTTGTTAGTTTTCTTCCTCTTCCATCCTCTCTTTGTTATTTTGCTCTTAGTCTAGTAGAAGTCCCAATGGCATTTCTACTTTCAACTGCTACTTCTTTAGCCTGTGTCCAGAGTATGTGTGTGTGTGTGTGTGTGTGTGTAGGGCTATGAAAAACAATTCTAGTATCAATATCTTTAAAAATAGGACTGTATTGCAGATATTGTCTACAACTTGAACTAAGCAAAATTAAAAAATGATAAATTCATAACATTAGAAAGATAGCTATTAGACACACAGACTTTGAGAGTTTAGAGAACTTGTTAGGATTGGCTTTTTTTCTCCCTCTGAGTCATGTTTAATGTGCATATGGTACAAAAGGACCTGTTATGGCATAGTAGTATTCATGGGCTCTGGGTTTGCATTCTAGCTCTGCCACTTTCTAGCTGAGTAACCTTAGGCATGTTAAGCTCTCAAAAGCTCAGTTCCTTATGGGAATAATGATAGTACCCACTTCATAGACGTGCTGTGAGGATTACATTTAAAGTGTAGTTAAATAGCATAGATTAGTGCCTAGCTCACAGTCAGTACTGAAAAATGTTAGGCTATCATACTCATTATTATAATCTTCACTATCTCTTTATTATTAGGAAGCTTGTGTTAATGAAAATCACAGAACAGTAAGCAACAAGACATGGCTGTGAATGAAGTGGGCAAGGTGAGACATGAGAAGCCACAAAATCTCAAAAGTCCTCATGAGACAAAGTGCCACAAGTAAGGTAAGTGGTCAGAAGATATGAAAATTCACAAGTCAGAAATTGGACATATAGGAACTAGGGGCCAAGGTAAGACTGTGAATTCTCAGCCAAACTCTGAGGAATATAACCTAAGACATCAGCAAGAGAAGAGCACATCAAACAGGTAATTCCTACCTCAGACATAAAGCCTTTTATATACTTCCTCCTGGAACAGGAGTCAACCATAGAGCCTATCTAGTCCAGCATTTTGAATAGGAAACACACAAGTTGTATTACTATTGGAAAATAGTGAATCAGTTGTTGAATAGATTAGAGGAGTATAGCTATCAGAAATATGGGGAAATCCTGACAACTGTAAAATTATTTTCACATTGGACCATTTCCCTAGAGGAGTAGTTATATATATATACCATTTTGTTAGTCCCGTTATTATATTTTTTCTTATGTTGCTTTAGACAGTATTTGGTCATTTTATTGTTTCATTTGGTTCTTTTATCTATGGAGGCTTTGTCTAATAAACTAAGTTATAAATATTTCCAGGACAGGATTTTCTGTTGCTGCTACTATTGTACTTTTTAAAATATCCCTACAGAATTTGGGATAATATACTACATAGTAGACTTTCAATAAATGCTTGTTAAAAAAATAAATAGGAATTACTCCCCCTTAGTAAACGGTATTTAGTATAATGAATATTAATAATTCATGAAATTAATGGATGACCTTGAAATCATACTTGACTCTTTCATACCCCACATCTATCGTGTCAGCAAATTCTATTAGTTCTACCTTCGCAATACATCTAGACTAAACACTTCTCATCACTCACATTGCATTCACCCTTGTCCAAGCTCTCTTGCCTGCAGGGCCCTTAACTACATCAGTTGGGCTATACACTGCTCATTACAGGAAGCACCATCCACAGAGACTACAGGGTGAATGATGCTTCTTGGAGTTGTGTAGTGCAATGATCCTACTTGCCTGGATTATTGCAAAAGTCTCCTAACCTTTGTCCTCCACCAGTCTATTCTCAACACAATAGTCAGCTTGATCCTACTAAACCTTAAGTCAGATCATGTCATTCCTCTGATTAAAACTCTATTGTGGCTCTGTCTCATTCATGATAAAAGATTAAAGTCCTTGCAAGGCCCCAGATGACATCATCCCACTCTTACCTCTCTAACTTTATCTCCTCCTGCTCATCCTACTTCTCACTCTGCTCTAGTCATTTGGGCTTCTCACTGTTCCTCAGTTATGCAAGGCATGTTCCTGCCTCAGAGCATTTGTACTTGCTCTTCCCTCTGCCTAGAATGCTTTTCTCCTAGATATCCGAATGGCTAACTCCCTCACCTCCTTCAGGTCTTTATTCAAATCTTACCTTCTCAGAGAGACTTTCCATGACACCCATAATTCTCATTGCAACCTCATGCCCTATCTGCTTTTCCACTTTATTTTTCTCCTCAGCCCTTATTATCATCTAACCCCCCATATGTTTTACTTATTTATCATCTGTCTTTCCCCTACAGGAATGCAAGCTCTATGAAGGCAGAGAGCTTTGTCTCTTTTGTTTACCACCTTATACCCTGCCCCCAGCACCTGAAACAGTATCTGGCACAAGTTGAGAGCTTAATAAATACTTGCTGAAATAATGAATGAGAGATAAAGACAAACTGGCACTTATAAACATAAGCCACTTTCTTGTATACACTAAGCAGAATGAGTAACCAATTAGTCTAAAGTCTTGAAAACAACTTGCCACTGTTATAGGGCTCAAGATTTTTGTAAGCCACTATTAATTTATTAGATTTATGATAAAGATAATAGGCTTGGCTTGTTTTACAATTGGAGTATTTTAGGTAATAACTATATGAAATTATTTTTAAAATATGCAATTCTATAGTGAAGTAGAATTCTAAGGATGGAATGGTTAAACATTTATTAGGAAAAAAATTCTCACTTAAAACTTCTCTAGGAAAGGAGAAATTGCATTTAAAACTTTTCTAGGAAAATTATGGGCAATTTAGAAGCCATACATTTCCAGAGAAACAGAAACCATAGTTGGCCTATCAAGAGATTTCCTCTAGAACCACCTTCTACATCAACTAGATCCATGCCTCAACACCAGCCATCACTCAGAAAGAACCCCCTAAGTATCAGGAATACAAATTCTTACACCACTATGTAATATTTTTAAATAGAGAAAAACAACCAAACAGTGAGGAAATATTTTACGAGCAAAATAAACAGAGACAAAAAAATACTGGGTATCATAAAACCAGGACAATTTCAAAACATAATCCAAAGTAAAAGATTAATATAACAATGGGTTGCAATTATATAATGGACTTTCCTTGGATACCAAAATGCATTAGAAAGCCCATTTAATTCTCATGCCACTGTCTGGTCATTTTAGTTCCCATTCTACCAGAAAGTGAAATATCTGTGTTTTCTCACCTTGGTCTCTTTACTTCTATGAATTCCTGAGCTTTAGTAAAGACAAATTCTCAATCAGAATCTGATTTCATTGTAGAAGTCTTATTTCCAAAAATCTAACATTAGATTTAGAACAGAATTTTTCCCTTTTGCACTTTTATTTATTAGCTTTTCAGGCTCTATGTAAAATAAAAATAATAAACTCAAAAGAAAGAAAACATTGTTGAAATCAAAGACTCTTTTGGAACAGAAGAGGTCTCTCATTTGCCAGATGAGGAAATGGAGGTCCAAAGGACTGAGACAGATAACTTTTTAGTGGTGGCAGCCAATTTCCAATCGGAAGCCAGGTTTAAGGACTTCCAGTCTTGTGGTCTTTGTCCCACACTATACTGTGGGAATGCTACAGCAACAAATTACAAAAAAAAAGCAAAGAATTATGTTAAGTGGAATTACTTATCATTTGAATCCAAAAAATATCAGATTCCCTCTTTCCTACAAAGAAAAATTAAGGCTTTCTCTTAAGTGTGGCATACGAAGGTTCTCACTACTTGTAAGAACAAAACGTCTTGTAGGGAAGATTTTGCTTGGTAATTAGTATTTAATAACTTAGGAAATAATGAATGTAGATTAATTTATTATTTTAAGTACTCTTTACCAGTTCTCAAATCCAAGAGACTGTTCCCATATTTGGTTGCAAGAATGAAGTATTTTAGAAAATGTATAGCTTATTTTGGTGTATTCTTTCTTTATAAATATGCAAAAGCCTATTTCCATTCTTCCAACTTTATCCCAACTCTACTTTGCAGTTCAGTATGCACAGCAAAAGAAATGGTAAAGTAAGCATAAAGGACACATTTACAAAACATAAGTATTTCTGTGTCTATTACAAATTGAAAGTCAAACTACTGATAGTTGTTTTTCCACAGATCCCTACAAAATGCATATATCAAATCAGTGAGCAAACAAAAAGCTTGTCTAAATGTCTTTGTCTTTATGATTAAACTGGTTCACTCATGTGCGCCAGTGAGTGCTGCTTTGACTCCAGGTGGTCAGCAAATCTCTCTGGTTAATGGCGTCCAGAGGAAAACTGCTTTCCTCTCTGTCTGATTCTTTACTGCCTGCCCTTAGCTGCCTGCATTTTGCCCCAGTATGTGAGAGGCTACCTCAGTTACTCGATATTTGCCCCCAGAATGGGGTTAATTTTTGGTCAAAATTGTGATTTCTCTTAATGGTGGAATCAATATTCTGATTCTGATTCTAAATCTCTTATTATAATGAAGAGGTAGGAAAAAATATTCCTTAATCCCGTGCACCCATCCTCATACTCAAGTAGACGTTTAGACATCCATTCATACTCAGCAAATATTTATCAAGGATGTTTCTGGGTCGTAGGTGCTAGCAGTAAGCAAGATTGATTCAGTTCATGCTCTCATGGCACTCAGTCAGGGGTGGGGTGGACAGGAAGTACAGAATAGAGACATTAAACAAACACTTATAGGCATTGTTCAACAACAGTTGGGATATGTGTCATGGAAAGGTAAAAGAAGCCATGAGAGCTTGTAAAGGTGAGTGTAATTTAACGTAGGTGAACAGAGACTCCTTGTCCAGGGAAGCAGTGTGTAAACTGAAAAATGAATAGGAATTGGCCAGGGAAGGGGAATAGAGGTAGTGAAAAGTCCCAGGCAGAGGAAACAGCCATCAGAAAGAAACTTAAGGCATGAAGGTGAGCAGAGGGAACAGAAAAAAGGCCAACGTGGCTGGCATGTAATGAGACAGAAATAGGCTGAAGCCAGACCATACAGGGAGTTAAACATCATGTTGGAGTTTGAACTGTATTATAACCTATGATAGGACTTTGGGAAAGGAGATGACACAAGCATGTTTTTAAAAGATCAATTTGACCACTGTGTGGAGAATGAGTTAGTAGAGATAACCAAAAGGAGGTGTGGCACAAGCAATTAGAAGGGTATCTGTTATAAACTGAATGTTTGTGCCCCAACTTCATATGTTGAAGCCCTAACCCCCAATGTGATGGTATTTGAAGGGGGAACCTTTGGGAGGTAATTAGTTTTAGATGAGATCATAAGAGTGAAGCCCCCATGATGGGGTTATTGTCCTTATAAGAAGAAGAAGAAGAAGAAAGAGATTGCTCTCTCTCCACCATGTGAGGACACAGCAAGAAGGTGACTATCTGTAAACCAGGAAGAGGGCTCTCATTAAGAACAGAATCTGTTGGCACCTTGATCTTGGACTCCCCAGAGTCTACAACTGTGAGAAATAAATGTCTGTTGTTTAAGCCACCCAGTCTATGGTATTTTGTTGTAGCAGCCCAAGCTGACAAAGACAGTGTCCGAGTGGTCCAGGTGTTGGGCCAAGGTGGTGATGGTAAAGACAAAGAGCAATAGAGAGATTTTAGAGGTACCCTGGGAGACAGAATTGACAGTACTTGCTGATTGATTGGACAAAGGGGCTAAGAAATAGGTAGATGTTAAGGATGATTCCTAGGTTCCTGACATGAGCAACTGGGAGGATGCCAGAGCCTTTTAATGAGGTAGGAAACATTGGAGGAGGAAAAGATTTGGCACCATAAATTCAGTAATGAACATGTCCAATTTGGAATGTCTATGTAATGGGTACCTGGAAATATTAGGGAGGCAGTTAAATATATGGGTCTGGAACTCAGAGGAGAGACCTGAATGAAGATATAAATTCAGAAGTTGTCAACAGGCAGTTAATAATTGAAAGGATGGATGTGTGTGAGATTTCTGGGAAAGAGAATTTAGAGAGAAGAGAAGGGGAAAAAAGGGAAGAGGGCCTGTGACTGGCCACAGATCCACACAACAAGCATATATTAGCACATATCACATCAATGAGCAAACAAAACATTTGTATAATTGGCTCTGTCTTTATGATTAAACTGACTCACTCATGCGTGCCAGTGAGTGCTGCTTTGGTTCCAGGTGTCACCATATCACTCTGGTTAATGGACTAGGTCCTGAGAGGAGGAAAACCAGCCAGGGGAGACTAGAAATAGGAGCCAGAGAAATAACAGGAAAGACAGGAGACCATGGGGTCACGGAAGACAAAGGAAGGTATTTTTTTGAAAGAAGCCAGGACTGGTTAACTATGGCAAATAAGATGTATGCTGTCCATTAGATTTAGCAGCACGAATGTCACCACTGATCCTAGCAAGACAAGTTAGGTAGATGGTAGAATTAGAAGCAGATTATGAGTTGAGGACTATTATATGGAGAAGATCAAAGGATGAATAAACTGTTTCTGGAAGCTTAGTTGTAAAAAATAAATAAATAAATAAAGAGGAGTAGATGGAGTGGTAGGTGGAAGTGGGTGTGAGGGAGGATTTTCTTAAAATAGATATTTGAACATGTTTGAATTCCCAAAAGTTATCTTCAAAAAGAAAAAAAAGTAACTCCACTGAACATAATAATTTTTTCCCAAATATTTGTTTGCTCATGTTATTCTGTGATTCAGGAGATCTAATATCATTTAAAACTTTTGATTGAACTTGACAAAAACAACAAGGCAGGGGTATAAATTATTGTCTGATGACATTGAAAAGTCTGTGGTTAGGGATAACTTCGGATATGGTGGGCTTTAGAGGCTCAAATGATCAAGCAAGAACCAATTTTTTCCCCATCTCTCAGCTTTTCTGTCACCTATTTATTCATTTAAAAATATTTATTGCAAAGCTACTATGTCTCATGGTCTATTTTAAGCACTGGAGATACAATGATATAAAAAGAGAAGCAAGCCCACTTTCACTATTTCTTTTCAGCATCGTACTGGCGGTTCCCCATTTCATTGTACTGGAGGTTCTAGCCAGTAAGGTAAGAAAAAAAGAAATTTAACAATATAAGAAGTGGGAAGAAATAAAACTGTTGTTATATTTAGATAATGTAATTGTATATTTAGAAATCTCAATGAATCGATAGCTATATTACTAGAATTAATTAACCAGTAAGGTTACTTGATACAAGGTATGGTAGGTAGAGTTCTAGGTTTTCCCCAAGGTTCCGGTCCCTAGTGTACATGCCCCATGTAATCCCCTTCCCTTAAGTGTAGGTGGACTTGTGAATATGATGAAATTTCACTCACATAATTAGGTTATGATATGTGGCAAAGGTGAAGGAATTTTGCAGATGCGATTAAGGCCCTCAATCAGTTGAACTTGGGTTGATCAAAAGAGGAGATCATCCTATTGGCCCTGCCTAATCAGATGAGCCCTTTTTAAAGAGAGTTTAGAGGTCAGAGACATTTGAGGCAAGAGAAATGGTCTCCTGCTGGCCTTGAGGAAGCAAGATGCCATGTTTCAGAGAGGGCTACATGACAGGAAATTGCAGTGGCCTCTAGGAGCTGAGAGTGGCTGCTGGAGGACAGCCAGTGTGAAAGAAGAAACTCAGACCTACAAGTGCAAGGAAATGAATTGCACCAGTAATCAGTGAGCTTGGAAGAAGCCCCTCAGCCTGAGATGAGATCATAGGCCCAGCTGACACCTTGATTTCAGCCTAGTGAGACTCTAAGTAGATGACGCCACTAACTCATATCCAGGCTACTGATTCATGGAAACTGAGATAATAAATTTGTTTTTTAAGATGCTAAGTTTGGGGCTGGCCCCATGGCCGAGTGGTTAAGTTTGCCCACTCCGCTTCGGCAGCCCAGGGTTTCACTGGTTCAGATTCTGGGCGTGGACATGGCACTGCTCATCAGGCCATGATGAAGTGGTGTCCCACATAGCACAACCAGAAGGACCTACAGACAGAATATACAGCTATGTACTGGGGGCTTTGAGGAGAAGAAAAAAAAAAAAGATGTTAGGTTTGTGATAATTTGTTATGCAGCAATAGAAAACATATATAAGGTCAATATTCAAAAATTCAATTGTTTTTGTGTATATCAGCAACAAACAGAAAATCTAAAAAGTTTGCTACCATTTGGAATTACACAAAAATATCAAATACCTATGAATAAATCTAATAAAAGAATGCAAGACCCTTCTACACAGAAAACTATAGAACTTTGAGATAAATTGAAGATAACTTAAATAAATGGAAACATATGCATTTGCTCATGGATTAGAAGTTTCAATGCTGTAAAATGTCAGTCCTTCCAAATTAATTTACGGATTCAATGCAATCCCAATGAAAATCCCAACAGGTTTATTTGTGGCAAATAGCAACCTGACTCCAAAATGTATATGAAAATGCAAAGGGCCAAGAATAGCTAAAACTCTCTTAAAAAGAAGAACAAGGTAGGAGGACATGGTTACCAGTTACCAAAGTTTACTATAAAACTATAATATAATATGATGTAGTTTTAGTGTAGTAAACTAAAGATAAAAGATTTTAAAACCTCTTACAAATCAAAAAAGAAAATACAGCCAACTCAATAAAAAAGTAGGCCAAATGCTTAACAGTCCCTTCTGGGAAAAGGATATCCAAATGGCCATATGAAAAGTATATTTCATTAGCATTCAGCCTCATTAGTAATTATGAAAATGCAATATGATATACTACACATCCATACATAAAAGACTGGTAATACCAAATGCTGCCTACAATGTTAAGCAACAGATACGCACCAGGGTGGAAGAGTAAATTGGTACAATCACTTTGGAACATAATTTGGCAATATATTCTAAAGTTGAACATATGTATACTCTATGACCTAGCAGTTCTACTCTTGAGAATATATCCAATAGAAATGCATGCATATGGGGCCAGCCCGGGGGCCAAGTGGTTAAGTTTGCAGGCTCTGCTTTGGCTGCCCAGGGTTTCACCAGTTTGGATCCTGGGTGCAGACATGGCACTGCTCATCATGCCATGCTGAGGTGGTGTCCCACATAGAACAACCAGAAGGACCTACAACAGAATATACAACTATGTATTAGGGGGCTTTGGGGAGAAGGAACAAGAAGGAGGAGGGGGGGGGGGGAGGGGGAGGAGGAGGAGAAAGATTAGCAACAGATGTTAGCTCAGGTGCAAATCTTAAAAAAAAATTTTAAAAAAAGAAATACATGTATGTATTCATCAAAGACATTTACAATAATGTTGAGTGACAGAAACCAGGCACATAAGAATATATATTGTATAATTCCATTTATATAAAATTTGAAAACTCAAAACTATGTTTCTAATAGTCAAGAGGAGGGGGGCTAATGATTAGGAGGGGCATGAAGTGGGTAATGTTCTATTTCTTTATCTGGGTGGTAGTTAAATGTAGGTATTCACTTAATAATACTCTTTTTTACTCAAACATTTGTTTTGTACATTTTTTTCTGTATGTGGGTGATACATCAATAAAAAAGATTTTAAAAATAAGCCAAGCTTCCTGCCCTCATGGATTTTATATTCTACTCTGAGGATCCCTGCTCTCCTCCATGCTGTTTGACTTCAATCTCGGGCCTCAAGTGGTGGGAACTGGTAGGAAGATGGCTGCTGGCAGCTCCTAGTCTACAACTTACCATGTTCAAACAAGTAGATGCCAAGGCGTACTTGTCTTACAGGCTCAACAAAAGTCCAAGATGCTTCTTTCTGGCTCTAATTGGGTGATGCACCCATCCCAATCACTGTGGCCGGTGTGAGGCTCTTATTGGCCAGGCTTGAACCACAGCCAACACTGAAACCAGAATCAAATGTTGTCAACTTCACCAGAACACATCAAATAGAATGAGGAAAGATGTGGTTCTCCAGAAAAAGAAAAAACAAAACAAAACTGAGTTCCCATTTCAGAAAAGGAAATAAATGTGGGCTGAAAACCCAGCAAATGTCCACAGTGGGTCTCCTGCAAGTGAAAATCCAGATTTGCTACTTCCTAGTAGGTCAACTTCCCTTTAATCTCTGTCATTTTACCACATATATTTCAGGGATTTGGCTTGCTTACTTCTTCCACTGCTAATGTAATTGCAAATGGACTCTCTTCTTCTCATTTGTCAGCTGAGAAATAGGGTACTTTCCCCCACGCCATTTCTGTTGCTCTGGCTTTGAAATAAGCCAAAAACAATCAACCAAACAAACAAAAAATAACAACAAAAATCCATTTAGAGTTTAAACCGTTTCTGCTAGAAACTACAATATAACAAGAAGATTAATGAAAATAATCAGACCTTGGAAAATAAATTCTATTTCTACCTACCTTTAGAGGCTCCTTCAGTTGCCTCAGGGGCTGCTTCCTCTGGTAAGCTCTCTTTACCACCCCCATCCCTTATCTGAGTTACTCAGCTCCTCTGACTGCTCACTTACACTATATGGTAATTTTCTTTACTTATCTGTCTTTCCCATTGCCTCATGCGTTCCTAGAGGATATGGTTTTGGCCTTTATCTCAGTACAAAGCTCATTATCTGGGACATACAAGGTAGAGGGTCAATAACTATTTTCTGAATGAATGAGTGGTTCGCATTCTAATTGCATTTAGTCCTGATAACAGTCCTGTGACATAGAGATTATTAACCTGCAGCTTGGAGAGGTAAGGTAAGAGACTTGCTCAAGATCACACACAGTAAGTGGAATCAGGATTGGAGCTTGAATGTATCTGATGTCAAAGTCTGGGCTCTCGGCCGCTGCCTTGGTCAAAACTGTTCATTTATTTAGACTAAGGTTCAAACTCCAGCTTGCAAAAGTTTTCCCTAACTGGATCCTACCTGCTTTTTTAAGTCTTTCCGTCATTGTTTACCTTCATGCATCTTTCCTCACAGCCCCTGAAACAGACTTAGGTTTTCCTACCTCTTGGTCTTTGCTGGGCTTTGCCAGCTCAGCCTACTAAAATCTTATCCCTTCTTCAAGAGTCAGCTCAGATGACATCTCTTTTATGAAATGTTCCCTTATCATTTAGCCAGAAGTGACATCCTCCTTCTCTCAATTGTCATATCATTTATTCCCTGAACCATGGAAATGACATTTATGACATTCTAGCTCTTGTTCAAGGTATTAGTGGACCTCTTAGTTTCCATATTAGACTACTACACTATGGCTTGTCCTCTCCATGGCTCCTAGTACAGTGACTCACACATAGTGACTTAAAAAAATTGTTGGAGCCTTGTGACTGAGTGGTTACAGTTCTGCACACTCCACTTCGGCAGCCCGGGTCTGTGGTTTCAGTTCCCAGGTGCAGACCTACTCCACTCACCAACCATGCTGTGGAGGTGTCCCACATACAAAAAAAAAAGAGGAAGATTGACACAGATGTTAGCTCAGGGCTAGTCTTCCTCAAGCAAAAAAAGAGGAGGATTGGCAATGGATGTTTGCTCCGACCAAATCTTACTCAGAAAAAAGAAAAAAAAATTATTGGATGACTTAATGGTGGTAGTTGTGCCTTCTTGGTATACCACCCATTTCCCTCACTGTCTAGGTCTTAGGACTGTGTGTATCATTGTTAAGTCTGCCCTCATATCCTATATCCTCCTCATATCCCATACTATGTGTTCTCTCTTGATACTCAAAGTGATCTTATGCATTCGGAATTACCAGCTATTAAATTGGGAAACTGAAGTATAGAAGGGGCTTTTGATAACTGTTAACAACATGGCATGGTTTCACAAATAGTTTGAAGATATGGCTTTGTGAATAATATTTTTTAGTTTAGAAGGACTAGTGACTACGAGAAGAAAAATAAAAGAATTTATTCTGGTTGTTTCTAGAGATGAGGTAATTTGGTCTGCTCACAGTAAAACCTCAAATTAACCAGAACTCAATTAACTGGCACCTCCAATTACACAGACACATAAAGCAGAGAGAAAGAGAGGATTTGCCCTTAGTAGAAAGAGACAAATGACGACAGAACAAAATGTTATCAGGGGTGCATTAAAATCAGCAACTAGCAGCATGTGTCCTCTTCTAAATAACAGCATCATTTCCAGAAATGAAGCAACTCAAAATTCCAAATCATGCAACGAGACAGAAAGATAAAAGGGTTTAACCAGATAATTCATTTAATCTGCTTTATGTCATTTCCCACAAATTGTAGTCAAGCAGTGTTATATCAAAAGACTATAGTGAGCTGCTTTGGAGTTGTGCGTAAGTATAATATTCCTTAAAAAACAACAACTTTGTAAACTTGTTTAAGGAAAGAATTATAGCAACTAAACTAACTAGAAATGTAAGGTCATTTTCAAAAAGAGACCAGAATCCTCAATGTGCAGCTGGAGCAGAAGATCCTGGTGTGCCTTGTTTTCTGCCATATTGCAGGCTTCTTCAATGATCAGGTTTCGGGTTTCACAGCAGCAACTGACTCAAAGTGATTATTTAGCCTGCAAAAGAGAAAAGAGTAAAGGGACATGATTGCGGTACTGAAAATTGCAATTACAGGGGGCACATGAAAATTGATCTGTTCCTCTTTTTAATCTGGTTGAACAATACAGGAACAAGAAAATTTAAAATAAAGTTTTAATATGAATGGAAATACCAGAGAAGTATGATTTTAGGTGGCATTTGTAAAGAAGTACTATTCACAATGGCAAAGTGGGGCATGGAGAAAAAGGCTGAAATAAGATATGTATTTTTAACTGAGTAGTCACACATAGCATTTAATGAAAACTCAGCAAACTCAACTTTCAGGTGATTAGAACCCAAACTTGTGGTAACACTGAAGATTCTGCTGGAAGAATACAACGGATAGCTATTATAATAAATAGGGTTGGAAGAAAATTAGCATGTTGAGCAAAGGGTCAATATGTCAGATCTGTTCACATGATGATGACGATGATAGCTGGTGTCTTCACAGCTACTTCCCCGTTATTTATTGTTAAAAAAATTCTCTGAGTTTCTTTTTGTTTTGTTTTGGTTTTCTCCATTTCCTGGATTACCTTCCCTGAGCCCCTTCCCACCCCCAACTCTGAACATCCAAATTCTCTCTCTTCATCAAAGAGCCTTTTAAAAATGCAGTTTAATCCAGGAAGTGATCTCTGACCTCACTACTAAGAAAAAGCAAGCGTCTACTCTATCCCTCCTCCGTACCTCTTGTGAGGCAGTAGTCGTTTTCTGCCTTGTAATATGGATATATATTATGTGGCTCATTTCCCCTACTAGACCTTAAGCATAAGATTCATGATTTATTTCTATATTCTCTACATTATCATTTTTTATATATAGTAAGCAACCAACAAATATTTGTAAATAATTATAAATATGTTTAATGAGTGACATAGAGATGAAGTTGCATTGATGTAACTTTCTTTTATCCAGATTCCTTTGACTAATGTGTCATTTTTTCAAAGGCTAAAGATGCAGTTCTTATGACTTCATGGGCTAAGCACTGCCGGTATTCAGCACACAATAGATATGTTCCGGAATCTATATGTGAATTAATCCTATAAATTTAATTATATTGTAATGCCAGAGGGGTCTTGCTATTTAGAGAAACTATGTATAGGATCCTTTTGAAATACTTAGCTCCTCCTAATTTAAATATTTTGTTGTGATTTTAACACACAGGGATGGTTTGATTTTTAAAAAAATACTTATTTACATACAATAAAAGCCACTCTTTTTGGTGCATAATTCTATAAGTTTTGACAAATGCATACAGTCACATAATCAAGAGACAGAACAGTGCCATCACTCAAAAAATTCTCTCTTGCTGCCCCTTTGTTAGCCCAGCCCCTCACCACAGACCCCTGGAAACCATCCGTCTGTTCTCTGTCCCTATAGTTTTGCCTTTTCCAGAATGTCATATAAGTGGAACCAGATAACACATATAGCCTTTTGAGTTTGGCATCTTTCACTTAGAATAATGCATTTGAAATTCATCCATATTGTTGATGTATCAATAGTTCATTTCTTTTAATTGCTGAGTTATATTCCATTGTATAGAGATATTATAGTTAAAGAATATTTGGATTATTTCCAGGTTTTGGCTATTATAAATGACTGTGTTATAAATATTCAAATACAGGTTTTTGTGTGAACACCTTATACTTTCATTTCTCTTGGGTAAATACCTAGGAATGGGATTACTTGGTCATATGGTAAATATGATCTGTAACATTTTGCATCCCCATCAACAATGTATGAGATTGCTCTGCATCCTAACCAGCACTTGGTATTATAAATTTTGTTTTTAAAAGCCATTCTAGTGAGTATGTAGTGGTATCTCGTGATTTTAATCTGTGTTTCCTGAATGACCAAAGATGTTGTACACCTTTCTATGTACTTATTTGCTATCCACATATCTTCTTTGATGGAATATCTGTTGAAATCTTTTGTCCATTTTTTAAAAATTAGTTGGTTATTTCTTCTGGTTTGTTTTACTTAATTTTAAAAATCACATAATTTTGTAGAAAAAGAAGAAAATTAAAATCACCCATGAATCCACACTAAGAGAACTATATTAAAATTTTGGTATATGTACATCCAGACTATTGTTTTGTGTAGGTTAACATGTTACAGTCAGCCCTGGTGGTCTAGTGGTTAAGATTAAGTGCCTTCACTGACACACCCACCTGTGTTCTTTCCCAGTCAGGGAACCATACTACCCATCTGTCGGTTGTCATACTAAGGAGGCTGTGTGTTTGCTGTGATGTTAAAAAGCTATGCCACTGGTATTTCAAATACTATTAGGGTCACCTGTGGTGGACAGGTTTCAGCAAAGCTTCCAGACTGAGACAGACCAGGAAGAAGAACCTGGCCACTCACTTCTGAAAAAATTGTCCATGTAAACCCTATGAATATCAGCAGAGCGTTGTCTGATATAGTGCCAGAATGTGAGAGGATGGTGCAAAAGACCAGGCAAGATTCTGCTCTGCTGTCCACAGGGTCCAATGTTACAGATATGTAAACTGAACTTCCTTGTTTGCACCAGCCTAAATATGCAAACAAGGTCAGTAAGTAGTGACAACTCAGATGTTACTCACGTTCATTTCTACACCTTGCTCACAAAATGCTAAAGATAGGAGAATGGAGGATTCTTCAATGGAGAAACTAAACAGCCTCAGAAAAAAAATATTTTCATATACTAGCATTTGGTAATCTGCCGATAAAAAGGCTGGTGTACTAACTGATCACCCTAAGAGAACCCCACCATTTAACCTGTCCTCCTCACCCCAGTAAGGGGTTTCAATTTACTTTTTTAGTTGATTTTCTCACTTAAAAAAAGAACAGAGACCCAAGAGTCACAAGACAATTAAGAAAAGCCGACAGCATCAGAGGTAACAAACAAAAAAGGAACTCAGGAAACAAAGATGATGCAGGAAGCAGAAAAAAAAAACTTTTTAAGAAAGCTTTTGAAAATTAAAAAGATGATCACTTAAAAAAAAGTCCAAAAGATCAGGAGGAGGACATTGAAGACACCTCCTAGAAAGTCAAACGAGACAAAGAGATGGAAAATAGGAGGAAAAAAGGTAAGAGACTTAAAAAAATCAAACAGAAATTCCATCATTCAGCAAGTTAGAGTTCCAGAGAGTACACAACAAATGTGAAGGAGAAAAAATAAATGAAATCCAAGAAAATTTATCTGATCTGAAGAACATGAATCTCCAGGTCAAAATATCCAGCCCAATGAATGAAAAAAGGCCAAAACAGGATATGATGATGAAATATCAGAGCACTGAGAATAAAGATCATAAAAGCTTCCACAGAGGGGGAAAAAATGATTGTATCCAAAGGAAGGGGAAACAACCACCTCAGGCTTCTCAGCAGCATCACTCAATTCTAGAAGACAATGGAATATTATCTTCAAAATTCTGAAGTGAAATTATGTTTAGCTAAGAATTTTATATCCAACCACCAATACTGGGTGAGTGTAGAATAAAGACATTTTTAGAGATTTAAGTTATCAAAAATTTATATCTTAGGTACTCTTTCTTAGGAAATTATTATTTCAGTGATATAAGAGATTCAAGAAAGAAGAAGACAGAGAGTCAGGAAATGGGCAAGCTAACCTAGAGAATGTCCTAGGGTGACAGCCATGCCTCAAGCCTAGGGCGCAGTCAGTCCTTATTAGATCTAGGGGACAGAGGGATTTTTTTTTTGAAGAAAAAATGGAACTGATAGATTGTTTGATGGTTTTGTGTTTGGAGGTTTGGAAAAAAATACTGCTAGCCATTTGACATTTGAAAATCTTTATGTAGTCATAATTATGTAAATACTGAGTGCTGAATTAATCAAAATATTTTTGCCTTATGATATTTTTGCCAAACAGTCCTGCCATGTGACATTTAAAGAATATGATAAAGCCACAGAGGGAGGAGGTGGGGAAGGGAAGTGGAGGTGGAGGTTGAGAACAGAGCTAAATCTTCAGTTATCATAACAGGATGTCAATAGACAATGTCTTAAGTTGATAAATCAAGAAACGCCTGAATGAACAAATTATTTAAACAGAAAGAGGTCAATAATAGATAAAACAACTAGAAGTTCAAAGTGGTGGCCTCTCAAGAGCAGTATGGGTAAGAGATGGAGCAGACGTCCCACTGTATCCCCATGTAAGTCTTTTAGAATAACTTATTTTTTCAGTACCATGTGTATATATTACTTTGATGGAAAAAAACAAAAATTAAATAAAAAATATTTGCAGACACTTTTCAGATGGAATTAGAATTGATGGCTCAAAATGCCTAACATTCTTTGGGTTTTTGCTATATACCGTAAAATTGTCTTCCAGAAGTTATCATTTTTACTACCACCAGCATATATGACAAGAATCCATTTCCCTACATCTTCGCCAACCTAGGTTATGTTTTTAAATCTTTGTCAGTTGGATAGGGAAGAAAAAGTTTCTATTATTTGAAGTATGTTTTCTTTAAGTAAGTCCTACTTATAGTGGAGGCTAAATGGCGTTCTCTCAGTTTCCTTCTTGTTGAGTTCCTGGATTAACATTTGATAAAATTATTAATCTTCTATGTGAGCATATGTCTTAAGATCTAGACTCTAGATCTAGAGGAACTGCAAGAATTGCCTTTATTGTGAAGTAACAGAAAATATATCCCAAACTGAATTATTTATCTGCTTGCCCAAACAAGGGCCTCTTCCTGACTTCCCTATTTCTATTAATGTCCCTAGTAATTTTGGACCCTTCCCTCCATATTTAGTCAGCCATCTAACAAATCAACTTTGTCTCTACGTAGACTCTTATACCCATTGCTTCCTTTCTGTTCCCTCTCTTAATGCTCAAATGTTGCTTTTGCTTTCATGAGAATTTTGATAGATATATCCAAATTACCCTTCCAAGAGATTTTATGTGAATTTATATTTCCACCAATAGTGTAGAACAACTGCATCCTCAAGCTGTCAACAATACTTATTATCCACAAGCTTT